AGTCTGGGCGCCGAGCGCCAGATAGGATATCAACATTGGTTCCTCGTTGATGATGATGATGAGACTATTCCAACATTGTCAATTATGAGCTTTTGGTGTGCTCTTATTTGGTGAAAACTCGTGATGCAATTCTGCTTTTGGTTCGATGTCACGACTATCTGGTCTCATGTGTATGATGCTGTTGATTGCTGAAGTTCACTATTGCTCATCTTCCTTGCACTTGTGCGTAAGAGGCACAGTAAAAGGGGAGCTGCAAGAACAATGAAAGGGGTACCCCAAGGACAACCAAAAAACTGTCTAATTATAAAATTGCTTTAATATGTTGGACATCTCAAATGCTCTTGTTGTCTGCAATAGGACAAAGACTGCTTTGATTCTGAATCTATTCACCTGGGTGGAATTGGGGCTGTTGTGGGGAAAATCTAAAACACACACACACACACACACAGACACACACACACACACACACACACGCACTTGTCTCCACCTCCAGGCCCTCTCTCAGCTGCCTCAGGCATTTGAGGAGGAAGCATAAACTCTCTCTCTGTCTCCCTCCCTCCCTCTCCTTCTCTCTCTCCCTTTTCTCTCTCTTTTTCTGCTTTGTTATGATCCTGGCCAATTTTGAAGTACAAATTCATGAGAAAGCTCAATGCCGTCCAATTGCAAAAGAAATGAACGAACTCTGAGGGGAGAGAGAGGGAAAGATAAAGAAGAAAGAAGAAGATGTACACCGACCAATGATAATGCCCTTCTTCTCAACAACCACTTTCCTCCTCTTTTTCTCCTCCCCTCTTTATTCACAATAAATAATAATCATAATAATGCTGAATGGCTGAACCAGAATCAATGTCCGAATCCCTCTAATACTGAAGGTACAACATGAGGTCCACCATAGCCATGGCCACCCTTCTCCTTCCTCCTCCGTAGGCTGAGGCTGTGGCGGACTGCTAGGGCCTTGCCCGGTTGTGCAAAAGACAACTCAAAGCAGCTATGGCTGCTCTGGCTCAGGCCGCCATGCGTGACTCTGCCTCGAGCTTCTTCGTGTAGTTCTACCCCAACGGGGGTCTTCAGATACAGCGGCCACCAAGGTGATGAAGATGGCATTCACCATAGCCAGGTAAGTACCTCTGGTATTCTCCCCTTCCTACTCCCCTTCCTAGTCCTCGCCTTCCTCCTCCACCAGCCCGAGCTCCACCACCATAGCCACGGTGGAGGGAGCTGGGCGCTCCTTCCCCCAGCAGCACTGCTAACTCCAGCACTGCTCCAGCCAGCGCTCCAATCAGTGTGTCGCCAAACTTGCACACCGTAAATGAGGAGCTCCTTGCTCCTCCAGGAGATATAGCAGCCTGTTTGCCTCTTGGGCGGTGACTTCCAGGTCACGCGGTCTCCAAGCAACTGGTACCTCCCTCTCAGAGGGAAACATCATTGCAAACTCTGATATTGCCCGTACATGCGTTAGTACTTGGACTGGTACCCGCCTAGACCTACCCTACAACTACTGGGCCTCTAAAAATGCCAACTTTTGTCTTCTTCTGCTCAGCCTCAAGTACCCGACACATCTACCGCTAATTGGTGTCGTACCGGCCTACCTGCTACTTGAGTGTTTTTCCGCTGCTCGAAGTGTCGAGGGTCTCTTTCCCCGCCACTTGAGTGTTTCCCCCGCTGCAATCCTCAATGTCACGGCCACAGGTAAGTACCAGCCCTTCGGGCCTCCCGCAAAAAGGAGTGCCCTTGCGGGTCACACACGACTCAAACCGACAAACACTCAGACGGGCACACAGACCAGCAAGGAATCACACACACAGACTTAGAAAACTCAGCAACAAGCTGGAAACTCATCAAGGCATACATTCCATTTGGAAAACTCAGAAATCAGCTGTGTCTCAGTCTGTGTTTGGCAGGTTCCTACAGCCTGCTCGTCTAGGAGGAAGCATCTCCCTCTCTCCACCCGTCTCTCTTTCTCTCTCTTTCTCTCTCTTTCTCTCTCTTGCTCCCAGACTCTCTATTCTCTCCCCTTCTCCCCTGTTCTCTCTCTCCCTCTCTCTCTCTCTCTCTCTCTCTCTCTCTCTCTCTCTCTCTCTCTCTCTCTCTCTCTCTCTCTCTCTCTCTCTGTCTGTGTGTGTGTGTGTGTGTGTGTGTGTGGAAAAGGTGATTGAGGACTTGCCTTAGATGGTTATCTGGTCAATGAATGCTTGTTTACCAATAAAAATAAAATCAAACACGAAAAAGGGCCAGTTGATGACGGCTTACCTTTTCTTTTCCAATCATCACTGTATGAATAATAATGGTGGCTTAGATCGTCATCAGGGGAATAATTGGAATGTCAAGAGGAACAATCGAGTGTTCCAGGCGATGCAGCAATGCAAAGAGTGCTGGGTGAAAGCGTTGACAGAAAGTAAGAACCGTTCCTTTTTTTCAGTTTTCTGTTTCAAAGGCCGCCCGTAACGTTTGTCACGTTTATCTTCCAAGTTGTGTGGGACGAACGTTGCACATTGCGTTAGAACATGTCCAATCATCAGATCTTTCTCAAGGAATGCTCATGGATTATTCAACTATTGTTACTCAGTGATCGAGAGGGATGTGTTACTACTTAAATGGTAATAAAACCCTTTGGAACTGCCTCCGATTTTCAATCCCCCCCCCGAACGATGAAGAGGAAGGGTTGGTGTACGTGCGATGAACCCAATTAGATGAGAAGCTCGTCAATGTCGAAATACAGAATGTCTGAGCGCAGAATCAATGTCTCCAAAAACTGTACGTGAAACCAAACTTGTCGAACATATAGCCCAATATCCCGTACTCTGAGAAGAAGATGAGGAGCGAGGGAGGAGAGACTTAGTGGGTGGAAGAGAGTTTCCATCATCATTGTTAAACGGAAGCTCTGAAACGGTATTCACCTGTTCGCAGTAGCCGATGCAGACCCCAGGGCTCGATCCCTAGACTTACCTTACCTGTGTACAGTATCTGTGTCGACCCGAGAGTTGAACCCATGACCTGTGTATTTGTAACAGTTGGTAGACTGTCGTAGGATCCGTAGGTAGTAGGGGTTCGATCTGTAGACCTGTCAGGTAGGAGTCTTAGCAAGGCCTAGAAGTCGTAGCTGTAGCTCCTCCGAAAGGTCAAGGTCGTAGCTGCTACAGTCCTGAAGGGTCAAGGTCGTAGCCGCTACAGTATCGGAAGGCCAAGTCCACGGCCTTCCGGAAGGTCCTAGTAGTGGCCTTTCGAAGCTGCTCACGTTTAGGCTGAGGGAAGTGGGCAAGTGGTGGAGTCCACCCGTGCTGAGTCAGCAGTCCCAGTCCCAGTCAGTCCTAGTCCAGTCAAGCAAGTACCGCATGGGACTGTGTGAACCACGGGCATGGGAAAAGGGGCAGGCCAACGAGATACAGAAGTATAAATCAAGAGGCAGCCCCCAGCCATTCATTCATTCCTGCGTAAGCCATACGGAAGCGCTGTCATAGCGACTTGTGCGAGGTGGTCTGCAGTGAGCCCGAAGACGAAGTGGGCAAGAGAAGGAGTTTAGCCGTAGCGATAGGGTAGTAGCGGCCATAGCCGCCATAGCTGATAGGAGAGTGTAGCGTGTATGTGTGTACAGTGTGATGCGAGTGGGATATCCAGGGTGATCCTGTGTGTGTGTGAACAGATAATTGTACAGGCACAGTGCCGCCATAACCATTGGAAGTGAACTTGTATCTGAACTGTGTTTTGGTTTCCATATGTCTGAGTTCTGAGTGGGCGCTTGTCGCCAGTTTGCTGCGCAACCTGTTTACATGCATGAGAAGTGTGAATGAGAGCGAGTCTGATTGCATTGGTATCGGAGCAGGTACCCGCTATTCCACGTGCGTCCGTCGTGTGCCGCAGGGAGAGCTACGCGCCATAAGCCGAAGTCGCCATCAGAGAGGAAGTCCGCCATAGCGGATCTGGGGTTGAAGAAGTCGCCGCGCGCACCTGCAAAGATGACCACGACGAAGAGATAGAGAGAGAGAGAGAGAGAGAGAGAGAGAGAGAGAGAGAGAGAGAGAGAGAGAGAGAGAGAGAGAGAGAGAGACGAGCGATACAAGTTTGGTTTATTACGTACCTGCGTTGAAGACATCGCTACTGCAAGAGAGAGAGAGAGAGAGAGAGAGATTGAGCGATACAAGATTGGTTGTCACATACCTGTGAAATTCGTTGTGCAGTCCAACGAGGAAGGAGGCGGCCATAGCCACGGAGCTCGACCACAGAGTGACGAAGGAGGTGAAAGGGAGGACGAAGGGAGAGACCGAGGAGAGAAGTGAAGCGGAGGAGGTAAAAAAAAAAAAAAAAAAAAAAAAAAAGAGAAGATAGACGGGGGAAGAAGAGAGAGGCGAGGAAGGAGAATGGTGGTGAGGAAGGAGAAGACGACAGCCATAGTTGACTGGAAGGGTTGATCGGGGGAGTTGACCGGAGTTGACGGGGCATTGACCGGGTGTTGACTGCAGCGTTGACCAAGCGTTGACCAAGACTGTTGTTCACGAATTTCACCAAGCTGGAGCCGGTATAATCCTCGCCAAGCGTTTGGCCTATCCCCTCGCCCTATGGATGTGCACACACCCTGTGGTACTTGCTGAGTCAAGTTTGTCTCTCTTCTTTTTGCATTGAGTCTCTTTTGTCCAGGTGATAGGACTTTGTGGATGAAGGACAGGGCCTTGTTGACCAAACCCACACGGGCTGAGTAGGGCTAAAGACTGCGTCTGACGACTCGACTGTCCCGGAGGACACGAACCCTCCCAAGGACCGGTACTGACCGGCGGGCTGCTCGGTGTGGCACGGTAGGCCCAAAATTCGAGCTGTGGGCTGCACAACAGGCCGTCTAAGTCTTGAGTGGACGTGCTGATCGCGTCGTCCTGTCTGCAACGTTAAAGAACTCCTGAGGAGTTACGGGGGATCTCCTTAAATGCCTCCTGATCATCAACAGGTCCTGTAGTGACATCCTTAGAGCAGGTCTAGGCTAGAGACCCTAGTTAACAGGATCCTGTCTGGATTTTGTAAGTCCTTAGATTGAGTCAGTAGGTCTTGTCAGTCAGGGGGTAGAGTCTAAGTGGTGAGGAGTGGAACCGTTTCTTGGTTGTACACCTACCACCATGGTTGACACCCGTGGAGGGAAGAGCACTACCCCTTACACCCAGGCCCAAGAGGAGCGTGCCGCCGCCATTCTAAAAGAGAAAGGAGATGAAGGAGAAGAAGTTCCTCAAACAAGCAAAGTTAAAGGCGATAGCGGAGGAGCGGGCGGCAAAGAAGAAGAAGTTGGAGGAAGACATGAGGAGATTAGAGCAGGAGGAGGAAGAGAAGAGAAGGGCTGCTGAAGAAGAAGCAGCAGCAGAGGAGGAAGAAGTAGAAGACGTACCCCTCAACAGGAGACACAGGGAAGAACGAGGGGAAAGCAGTGGCACGAAGGGAGAGGATGCGTGGATGGAGAAAAAGATTAGCGAGTGGGTAGCTAATTTATCCCTGGGAGAGGATGAGAAGGCACTGTTGTACGTGCCTCAGGAGGAGAGAGAAGCATACGCTAGGGAGTTGGAAGCGATGGAGGACCCCCTGGACCGCCAGACAACAGAAGATGAAAAGAGATTGGAGTGGAAGTTGCGGCTGAACAGGGAGAAGAAGAGGAGGGAGGAAGCCAACCGGGTGGCTAAAGAGGTGGAAAAATTCCAGGCATGCAGACAAGAGGTGCATTCACAAGCAGAGACCCCCGCAAAATTAGACAAGATTTTGGGGTACCTTGAGGTTCTGAGCGAGGCCTGGCTTGAGGAGCATCAGGCCAACAAGGGTCAGGATGTGACCCTTCATGCCATCTGGTCAGGTTTCAGAGAGTTTGCGCGTGACGTGGTGACCCACGTCAGGACCGAAGTAAAGAGATTGAAGGAAAGTGCAGAGAAGTTCTGCGCCGGCGCCGTTGAGGGCGCCAAAGTAGTGGCCACAGCAGAGGCCGCGTCACTTGGCCAGGAATGAAAGTTGACTGCATAGAGTATGTCCGCAGTTGCAAAGTATGCCAGAGAAACAAGAGTACTACGCGTGCCCCTCTAAGTCTTCTCAGACCCTTGCCTATTCCTGATCAGCCTGGAGATTCAGTGTCCATTGACTTTATGGATGCCTGCGTCAAGAGTAGGCATGGCAAGAGCTAAGTCATGGTCATAGTTGATAGATTTAGCAAGTATGCAGTTTTTGTTGCTTTGCCTGCAAAGGCATGTACTGAGTTAGATCTTCAGTTTTTTGACTTTTGGGTTAGTGAACATGGGGTTCCATTGTCCATAGTTAGCGATAGAGATACCCGGTTCACTAGTCAGAGCTGGCAGGAACTGATGAAAGTTTATGGGTCAAAGTTGTTGATGTCGCCTGGCTGCCATCCAAAGACTAACGGTCAGACTGAGCAGATGAACAAGATCCTGCAACAAGTTTTGCGCATGTATATTAGACCAGATCAAGTCAATTGGGACGAGATGTTGCCCATGGTAGCCAGTGCGTATAACAACAGCGTGCACTTGTCCACCTGTCGCACTCCCAACGAGTTACACAAGTCCTTTAGACCGCGCAGACCGTTTGAGGGGCTTAACCGGGATCAGATTCATAGGCTACCACCCAGTATCAGGGAATTCGCGACACAGCACAAGAAAGAGCTAGCTACAGTCGTAGAGAACCTCAGGAAGGCCCAACATAGAATGATAGAGCAAGCCAATAAGCACCGTCGCCCATCGCAGTTCCAAGTAGGCGACTTAGTCTGGGTCAAGTCCAAAGAGTTTGCTCCTGAGGAAAACATCTCGCAGAAGTTACTGCCAGCGTACAGGGGACCATGGCCAGCGCTAGAGGTCAAGGGCGGAGAGGATGGACCGTCCTACACAATAGAGATCCCAACACACCTCCACACCTACCCGGTGTTCCATGCATCAAAGTCGTTGCCGTGTGCCGCAAGTCAAGAGTTTCCATCTAGAAGGTCCATGATCCCTCTGGACATGGACAAAAGATAAGACATTGAAGGCATTGTAGGTGAAGACGTGTTCAGAACAGGAGGTAGAGGTCGTCCACAGAAGCAATATAAAGTCCAGTTTGCTTATCAGGAACCAGAGGACGATTGCTGGTTTACTAGAACAGAACTGCTAGAAACAACTCCCGACATAGTTAGGGCCTACGAGAGAGATAAGAAAGGTAAAGGTCGTGCCTTGGACTGAGTTATTCTCGAAGGACCTCGAATTTAGGCCGGTGGGAGTGAAATGGTATTCACCTGTTCGCAGTAGTCGATGTAGACCCCAGGGCTCGATCCCTAAACTTATCTTACCTGTGTACAGTATCTGTGTCGACCCGAGAGTTGAACTCGTGACCTGTGTATTTGTAACAATTGGTAGACTGTCGTAGGATCCGTAGGTAGTAGGGGTTCGATCTCTAGACCTGTCGGGTAGGAGTCTTAGCAAGGTCTAGAAGTCGTAGTTGTAGCTCCTCAAGTTAAGGTCGTAGCTGCTACAGTCCTGAAGGTTCAAGGTCGTAGCCGCTACAGAATCGGAAGGCCAAGTCCACGGCCTTCCGGAAGGTCCTAGTAGTGGCCTTTCGAAGCTGCTCACGTTTAGGCTGAGGCAAGTGGGCAAGTGGTGGAGTCCACCCGTGCTGAGTCAGCAGTCCCAGTCCCAGTCAGCCGTAGTCCAGTCAAGCAAGTACCGCATGGGATTGTGTGCACCACGGGCATGGGAAAAGGGGCAGACCAACGAGATACCGAAGTATAAATCAAGAGGCAGCGCCCAACCATTCATTCATTCCTGCGTAAGCCATGTGGAAGCGATGTCATAGCGACTTGTGCGAGGTGGTCTGCAGTGAGCCCGAAGGCGAAGTGGGCAAGAGGAGGAGTTTAGCCATAGCCATAGGGTAGTAGCGGCCATAGCCGCCATAGTTGACAGGAGAGTGTAGTGTGTGTGTGTGTACAGTGTGTATGTGTGTACAGTGTGTATGTGTGTACAGTGTGATGTGTGTGGGATATCCAGGGTGATCCTGTGTGTGTGTGAACAGAGAGTTGTATAGGCACAGTGTCGCCATAGCCATTGGAAGTGAACTTGTATCTGAACTGTGTTTTGGTTTCCATATGTCTGAGTTCTGAGTGGGCGCTTGTCGCCAGTTTGCTGTGCAACCTGTTTACATGCATGAGAAGTGTGAATGAGAGTGAGTCTGATTGCAGCTCCCTCGCAATCCCACTTCCTCTTCGGGCGTCCTCCCAACTGGCCACGTCAGCAAACAGTTTCTCCCTGACGAACTCTGGCAGCAAGCAGGTAAGCTTCCCTTCCTTATCGACCAAGCTCACAGCCCTGGTCCTCGTCCTCACCCCCCGTACTCCATCAATGTCATAGTCAGTGTGGCAAGAGCCACATCAGCATAATCGCCCTCATGGTTGGCGATGCAAACAGAGAATGGCACTAACATAAAGCTTTGGCCATCTCGCGTCTCCGCACCATCGTTAAGCCAGCATCCAGTGATACGCACAAGACTGAATGTCGTCCAGCAGGGGCCGAGTCAACCTTATAGTGTACACTCATGTTGACCAGCCTCTGATCTTTCAGATACGATGGCCTAGATCATCTGTCACCCGATGGTATGGATCTCATATAGTTTCAGATTCCCACTTAGAATCAGGGCTGGTCCCCGGATAGACCGGGACCCCCTCCCCCGACCAGGGTCCTCCTGGTTGGACCGGCCGGTGGACTGGGCCGGTTCCCTCCTGGTCGACCCCAGCGCATTTTCGCTGGGGGTTGAAAAAAAAAAATTGGCGGCCCGGCGGTGTGTGGGAGGCCTTTTGGAGGCAGGCCCTGGTCGCAATTCCAAAACCGGGTCCCGTAGGCCTGTTTCCTATGAGTCCAAAAAGCGGCCGATCTTGACCGCCGATCATCGCAGATCAGCAGCAAAGATAGGTCGCTTTTCTGAACCCGTTTGGGCGGGAACCGCGCAGCGGTGCAAAGGGGAAAATGCATCGCGCGTCCAACCCCTGTTCACCCCTTGCAGACGATGATCCCCCTCCGCGCGATGCGCTTTCCCCCGCCATCGCCATAGCCGTCAACCTGCGCCAGCCAGCTTCGCCATCAAGCACCCCGCCAGCCATCAACCACCAGCCAGCCTCACCATCAAGCCCCCCGCAGACAAGCCACACCAGCGCCCCCTGTGAAGAAGATTTGTGGTCCCCTGTCCTTCTTCTTCTTCGTCGTCGTCGTCTTCTTCTTCTTTCTACTTCTTGTTCTTTGTCGTTCAACTTCTTCAATGTCTGCTCATCTTCGTGTCCTTCTTCTTCTTCTCCCTCTCATTGTTTTTCTTTTGACTCCTGGTCTGCTTTTCTGCTCCTCCTCTTCTTCTTCTTCTTTGACTTCTTTCACTCTTCTGTTCCCCCCCCCTCCTCTTCTTCGTCTCCTCCCTCTCTTCTTCCTCCCCTTGTCCTCTTTGTCTTCTTTATCCTCTCCCCTCTTCTTCGCCTTCTTTGTCCTCCCCTCCTCCTTTGCTTTGCCTTCTTCGTCTTCTTCCAGATCTTTTGTTCCCTCCCACGACGACCCCGCTGGTCGTCCATCATCCTCAACCCCCTCCCCAGCGATCTTCTCTTCTTTTCTTCTTCTCCTCCTTTACTTCTTCTTCTCCTCCTTTTGTTCTTCCTTTTCCTTTGTTTTCTTTCAAGTTCTTATTTTCTTTCTCTTTTTCTTGTTGTGCTTTTTTCGCTTTCTTCTTCTCCTTCTCCTTCTCCTCCTCCCGTGCTTCTTGTTCTTCTTTCTCTTCTGATCTTCATCTCCTCTTCTTCTTCTTCCTCCTCCGCTTCTCATCGTCTCTGGTAGCCATAGCTGTTTTTTTTTTTTTTTTTTAACTCCCTCCTCCTCCTCCTCCTCCTCCTCTTCTCCTTGTTCTTCTTCTTCTTCTTCTTCTTCTTCTCTTTCCTTTTCCTCCTCCTCCTCCTTGTCTGTTAGCCATAGCCTTGTGGGCCTGCAAACCCTGAACGCAACAGCCCCCTTCCCACTCTCGACCTGGACCCCCACCCCCACCCCCCTGGCACACCCATCAAAAAAATGAAAAACATCTCTAAGAGTCCAAGTTTTATTGCGGAATCAGACAGATCTCCACAAGCGCAGTCCGATTCCGGCACCAAAAAAAAAGAAAAAAAAAGGCGATTTTTCTGGACCATCCGGTTTGCCTGTTGACCCCCCCTGGACCGGTCCGGCCCTGGTTGGACTGGGCCAGCTCGACCAGCCAATTGCTGGCCCAGCCCTGGCTTCCACGATATTTACCCATTTTCCACAAATCATGTTCTGTACCAAGGACCGACTTTTTTATTTTTATTTTTATTGTAAAAAGCTGTCTTCTCCTCATGCAGAGAACAGATATGTATGTTTTCTATATGAAGTATTATGAACTGACTTCGCAGCAGGGGTCACTAAGCATTATGGGTTGGATTCCCTCCCATCCGAAGCCTTTATCTTGTAATATATCCCGCCTACCTATATCCGCTCTGTCCGGGGAGTAGTACCCAAGCTCCTGAGTCCTAACACCTGGCGAGAGCTGGAAAGCTTTTGAGGAGTTTAGATAAGAGATATTGAGAGTCGAAAGATAGCCGTGGAAATCTTTTGTGTTTCTTTCTGGGATTTCCCATTGACCATTAAAGATTTGGCGTAGGTTGGCTGATTTGCCAATTCAGATACCTTTCTCTCCCTGTTACTTCGTATACCTTAACGCTTGCCAGGGATAAGTAACACGACTGGCCTCGGCCCAGAATAAAAAGGGGTTGTTCTCTCTCTCTCTCTCTCGATTTATTATTATTATTATTATTATTATTATTATTAAATTTATTATGATTTTTAAGCACGTGTGCCTCCGCCAGTGTTGAGAAATTAGGGAAAACGGGCAGTTCCAGAAGAGTTCGGAGGCTGTGCTAACTCAGTTTTGCGATCCAAAATAAGTGCATAGTCAGCAATCATAGAGTGCTGAAGGATGAATATGACCACAATCGCATCCACATTTGGTGCCGAAGATGCCCTATGTGAGGATGTGCTAACTCAGTTTTGCGATCCAAAATAAGTGCATAC